TGTTAACTCATGCTCTAGTAAATTTTCTTCATATTTTATGAATAAGCAATCAGGGCCCAGAAATGGGCAGCATCTTGTCCAAGGCCTTAAAGGAGCCTTGCTTTCTGTATACTACTGAAGGTCCTGTTTCCAGAGGCTCAGGCCTTAAGAGACTGTATCTGGTATCTGTTTCTTGTATCTGGGTTGGCTCCAAGTTGTAAGGAAGTCCAGGACACAAAGATAAGTCATGTGTACATGTTCAGGCCAATGGCCCAGCCAAGAGCCCAGCCAACAGCCAGCATGAGCCGCCAGACATAGGAGTGAGAAGCCTTTGGATAACTCCAGCCCAACAGTCATCTGACCTGCACGAAGAGCCTGAACAAGAACCATTAGCTAAGTCCCACCAGCCCTCCCTCACCCCAGGAACCATGAAAGCTAATAATACAATGATTGCTGTTGCTCTAAACCGCTGCATTTGGGGGTAATTCATTATGCAGCAATAGATAACTGAATACCATGGATGACAAAACCCAGAAGCCATAAGAATAAAAAATTCTGCATTAAAAAATTAAAATCACGGGCAGCGCCTGTGACTCAAAGGAGTAGGGTGCCAGCCCCATCTGCCAGAGGTGGCGGGTTCAAACCCAGCCCCGGCCAAAAACTGCAAAAAAAAAAAAAAAAAATTAAAATCACAAGACAAACAACAAACCAGGTAAAATACCACATGTGTATTTGCAACTTATTTTACAGAGAAAGGGCTAATTTCCTTATTGCACAAATAATCCCTAAGACCAAGTGCCAGCTCATGTGAATAGGAAAAGGATATTGATAGACAGCTTGTAGAAGAGGAAATGGCTCTTACATGGATGAAAAATACTTCAGTTGGCTCAAAGAGAATTGCACATTAAAATTACAAGATACCAGTGACACCCGTAGCACAGTGGTTACAGCGCCAGCCACGTGCACCGACAACGGCAGGTTGGAACCCAGCCTGGGCCAGCTAAACAACAATGATGACAGCAACAAAAAAATAGCCCAGGTGTTGTGGTAGGCGCCTATAGTTTCAGCTACTTGGGAGGCTGAGGCAAGAGAATCGCTTAAGCCCAAGAGTTTGAGATTGCTATGAGCTGTGACACCACAGCACTCTACCGAGGGCAACATAGTGAGATTCTGTCTCAAAAAAAATAAAAAATTACAAGATACCAATTTTTTAAAATAATACACAAGGGAAATAGGGACTTTCATGCATTGCCAATAGAGCATAAGTCGAACTTCAATGAAAAACATTCGGCAATCTGTATCAAAATGTATGGTGCATATATTTTTTGACCCAGCTATTCTGCTTTTAGGACTTTACCTTACAGACGTATTTACACATGTGCAAAATGATGTTGGCTTTTCATTGTGGCTTTGTGGGAGTACTAAAAGATGGGAAACAACTGAAATGTCTATTCATGGGGGACTGTTTATTTTGTATCATTCATTCCCACAGTGAAATACTCTGCATCAATAAAAAGAGTGAGGCTCGGCGCCTGTGGCTCAAGCGACTAAGGTGCCAGCCACATACACCTAAGGTGGCGGGTTTGAATTCACAGCCCGGGTCCACCAAACGACAGTAATGGCTGCAACCAAAAAATGGCCAGGCGTTGTGGCGGGTGCCTGTAGTCCTAGCTACTTGGGAGGCTGAGGCAGGAGACTCGCTTGAGCCCAGGAGTTGGAGGTTGCTGTGAGCGTGATGCCATGGTACTCTACC